TTGATTCTTGGTTGCCAGAAACTTTGGGAAATTTCCTCAATCTTTTAGCATTTCATTAATGCAATATGGTTGTGGAACAGATGGCGAAAATGGGGCTTTGGCTACGGACACACAAAAGATTGTTAAGGCCACACAAAAACTATATAAATGTATTTGGTTTAATTATTAGAAACAATTGATAATTATAACTGTTAATTAATAATAGATAAAATAGTTGATATATATTATTTAATAGTTTAAATAGATTGTTTAAATTAACTTTTTTAAAATAGTTAATAATTTGGTAATTAATATTTGACGATTGATAATATTTGATATTTATAATTTAAAATATCTAATTCATTTAATTAAAACTAAGAATTGATAATTATTTTTAAAAAATTTAAATAAATATCCCTAAATTTAGCCTATAAATTGATATTTCCAAACACTTATTATAAACTAATAAAATCAAATAAATTAAATACATTTTCAATAGATTGTGTGGCCATAACATGACCCCAAAAATGGGGGCTGCTCTTTCTTCTGGGGCTGCCTTGCTTTCACCGTATTCTTCTAGGGAACGGGCCAATGCAGGACAAGGCGGGCAGCCTCCCCCTTAAACTTTTGAAAAATATTTAATATGGTAGTCTAATTTTTATTTGTTAAAAGTTTTGTTTTCGTGGTATGAATTTTAAGAACTATTTTAAATATAGACAAAAAAAATTGGTACCTAAATAAATAAAGAGTTTTCAAAAAATAAGAATATGATTCAAATAAAATGAATTTTATGCCAATTTGATTAATTAATTAGGAATTAGGGTTCTTAACATTGCCTCATTTATTAAGCCAAAAAAAAAAAATCGATTCTCTATTAAAATAATTTTAAATTTGAATTTTTTAATATATTTTTATGTTCTCTCTTAATATTCTACGTGACAATTTAAAGTGTTTTTTAACATATAACTATGTTTTTCCTTTACCAACGAGGAGTTAGATCAAGTGGTAAGCGACTTGTTCCAGCTTAAGTAAGATTTTGAGTTCAAGATCTTGTGTATGCAGCAGCCTTCGCTGGGAGACTTACCCACAATTTCTAGGTGCGCGACGTGGGTCGGGTTCGGATTAGTCGGGGCGAAACCCCGGATACCGAGCGGGAAACCAAAAAAAACTATGTTTTTCCTTTTCTGTTGTTGCTGAAAACCTTCAAGATCCTGCTTCGGTTTGATTCTTCTCCAAGTGGTCCTGCAAAATCCCGAGGGTGGTCCTCGGGGAGAAACTCCAATGCTTAAGTCAGTATTTTTCTAATAATGTTCTCCTCTTTGTTCCGTTTATTTATCGTACTTTAACTTGTGGGCTTTATCCATCTTGGCAAGGTACCCACGTGGCTCGTCCGCACCCATGTGGCTTGGTTAACCCAATAATGGTGACATGTTGTGCCTGACGGAGTAGGCGTTTTAAGTGAATGTAACGTGTCTTAACGGAGCAACCGTATTAAATGCGCATGTAACATGCATTAACGGAGCAACCGTATTAAATGCGCATGTAACGTGCATTAACGGAGCAACCGCATTAAATGCAAATGTAACATTCTAACGGAGCAAGTCCCTTGAGAAAGGGTGCTCAAGTAAGGACAAATGATCAGATGGGGGCATGCCTATTGTGGCTGCCATGTACTTACGACGAATAGCCAAGGTGCGGTAGATTCTGAGTTTCACGACTGAGGTGCGATAAGCTCTGAGCTCTGTAGCCAAGGTGCGATAGACTCTGAGTTCTGCGACTAAGGTGCAGTAAGCTCTGATCCCTGGACTTTACCTTGTGGCTCGCCTATAACTACCCTTACACTTTCATAATTGAATTTATAATTATGTTATTTTTTTGTGTTAATAAATCAATATAAATTAGATTCACGTTTTGAGAGAAACATTTAGTATTTGTTTATTTATTTTGCAATTTAGTGTTGCATGATTTGTTACGGTAATAGTTTTTATTTTAATAAATACTTTTACTTTTTATTTTTCTTAAAAATATAGCAATAAAAAAGATATTTGATGATGAATAATAATAAAAAAGATGAAAAAATGGTATGATTTGATGGGACGACTATAAAATGGTATGTCACCTTAACAAAATTACTTGATTTAAATTTTAAAAAATTTTATATATTAATGACATGGCTTGCCATGTCATTTGTTCCATGATTTCGTTTTCTTTATTCGTCCACTGTATCATTGCCTTTGATGATTCAAATCTCTAACAATAGTTTTAGTTTTTACCCCACTAAACGAATTTACAAACTCCATCCCTGTTGCTAGTGTAATTAGGTACGGCATGGAAAATGTGTCAGAGCAACCAAGTCCTTTTGTTTGCTGCTATTAACGCATTCTATGATGTGCAACAGGATAAATATACGCATCTCAAGGGGTATTTGAGCCAACCAAAATCTATACTTAATGACTCTATTTGTCAATACTATGTTGTATTATATTATAATGGTAAATTTTTTTTTATCTTTTATTATTTTAAAAATATATAAATTAAAATTAATTAAAATAAATTAACAATTTATATTTTTAAATTAAGTACCATGTGAAAAGGTGTGTAAGAAGCACTAACAAACAAAACCGCTTGGCATTTCATTCCAACCTAAATTGGGGGAAGAATTGGGACTACAATTTGTTGAATTGAAATTTTAAAACCTAAATCTCTAAATATTGACAGGAAATAGAAGGGCACTTTGGGCATAACAAAATTTTAGTGGCTACATACAAAGAGAGCATGCCTCGTGGACACTTGTTTATCAGGGATAACATGTCTCATGAAGGAATGGACAAAAGCTTTTTAAGTAGGTCTGATTTCGGGGAAATGGAGGAACTTTCTGCTATCCCTTCCTTTCAAACCAAACAGACATTTACATAAGGGTGAATTTGAGATTTGACTCAAAATAACAAGTTTAATTAGTCGGTGATATGCCTCAAAAAATAGTATAGGGGCAGATTTGCATAAACACAATAAGCTTGCAGGCGAATCTGACCTTTTTGCCTTTTTTATTGCGTAAGATGATTGAAGTCTAAAGTTAAAATAAAATAAAACTAATAAATTGAACTGTTTTTTTAGGAATCAATTTTTAGTTGTAAAGCCTAACAACTAGATTATCCTTAATTCCCGAGGAAGAATCTTGAAGATGTGGCCGGCAAAGCAAACGATGCTTGATTCTTCCACGATCATTCATCAATAAAACTCTAGTATTGTTTCGAAAAAGGAAAATGTTAAAGAAAACAAACCATTTCCTCTCTCTCTCTCTCTCTCTCTTATAATTTCTATGATTGTTAT